ATAAAACAAAACTTACCTAGTAGAGATGGAGAGACATTCATATGGAGAATCAAGAGTCAAAGAACAAATCATAACAACAAACCAAACAACAACCACAATAAAAAGTTAGAACTATCACAAAAGAAATTAGAAAATAGAGCTCAAAATCATGATAAAGAAGACAGAAGAAATTTAGTAATAAAATAAACATCAATTTACCAGGAAGAGCTGAGCCATCAAATTAGAATCACGTCTAAAATGCTGCTGAAAAGCACTGGGGTTTATAGAAGATCCATCAGTATTGAAGCTCAAATTGTTGGCAGAACCACTGAAATAATTTAATCTCATCATAAATATTAGCAAGTTATCGAAATTGTAATTATTCAACTAATTGTATCACTGGTGAAACATCAACTTGTTGATTACATCGATTAACACAAGCATAAGAACATAGTCAATTCACATACTGATTAACCTTAAAGGTTTAGTTTTGATTTGAGAATACTGGTAAACAATGCATTATCTTGAGATGTAAAATCAATGGAAATTATACCTAGAAGCAACAACACCAGCACCAACCCCTTTCTTAGAGACCGTTATCGTTAGCGAATCATCATCCTTAACACCAATGGCACTCAATTTCTGAGAATTGCTTACCTCATTCCCATTGAAAAGAATTTGTTGTTGTTCTCTATTAAAAAGCACATCAAAAACCCAATTAACAAAACCAGCATCGGCGCCGGACCTAGAGTCTGTTATCATTAGAAAATCATACGATACATTTTCACATCATTATTTTTCAGTTTTAGCGCGAAAGATGATTTATCATTTCATTAGAAAATCCTAATCGATAGAAGCATAAATAGAAAACCCTAATTAACAGAAGCACCAATAGAAAAGGATATTGAAACTTACTGAAAGAGAACTTGATGTGAGTTGGGAAGTGGATTTGACGCCTTAATTTTCGCAACCATACACAAACTCGCCAAACACAAAAGAATGGATTTCAAACTAAGAAGAGTGAGATAGGATGCTCGGATCAAAAGGAAACAATTAAAGCTACTTAACAATCATATTGATGTCACTCAACCAAAGTCTACGTGAACAAAGGAAAAGTGAAATAGCGCCCTTTGATAATTTTCAGTAACTACGTTTGATAAATTTTCAGTATGTGTTGAAATAGCACTTTGATAAATTTTTAGTAGAGGGACAACGGTTGGTGAAATAGCGCCCTTTGATAATTTTCAGTAATTACGTTTGATAAATTTTCAGCATGTGTTGAAATAGCACTTTGATAAATTTTCAGTAGAGGGGCAACGGTTGGTTCAGTGTCGTGAACTTAATTTTAGGGCGGTTTAATCATAAGTGTCGCAATATTTGTTAATTTTTAAAAAATATAAGGACGGTTGGTGTAAACCGTCATAACAACTGTCTCTGTATGAGAGTTATGACGGCTATCAAGTTAGTGTCACAATTTTTGTGTCGTAAAATGTTAATTTTCTTATATCTTTCTTCGTTTGTCTCTTATTTTTGTTTGTATTTCTTGTTTGCTAATTACTTTTTCTAAATTTTAAGGACGAAATTTCTCTAATGAGGGGACAAATATAATACCCCTAATTTCTATAAAATATAATATTATATCTATGTATATATAATTCACCATTAAATTATTATCTATTATTTTAAATGATTTTGTGTGTATAGGTGAAGTATATGTTGGAAATTCACCTCACACTCTATGAAGAATTCATTTCAATCTTGATCTCAAGATTGATGAACAAACCCACAATATGATAGTAATGGTAATAACAAGTAATTATCAAGAACAACAAAAGAGAAGAAGAATAACAAACAAGAAAGAGAAGAATGAGAGAAGAAATATTTAGAGAGAATGTGTTACTCACAACTGTGGGATTTCTTATTGCTTATAGAACTTTCACTTGCTAAACACTGCAACTTTGAAATATTTTCTATGTTATGTTTGAATACAAAGCAAGACACCCTATTTATAGTTTTAGGTTTACAAAAGCTCAAAACATAAAATGCCCAAAGTATAGTTATTTCTATCAATTTTATGATACTTGACAAGTCAAGTTCTTTATCAAGAAAAAAAGTGAACAATTTTCTTTTTATAAAATTCATTTTGTTATTGTCATTTGAGATACACTTGAAATTAACATACAATTTTTTATTGATAAAAATATTTATAAGCTTTAATGTAAAACTCTCATTTAAAGAAATTATTTTATAAATTTAATTTATTTTTTCTTGAGTTTCATATACCAATTCTTGATAGTATATTATAATATTAAGTATCATAAATATAAAAAAAATTATATATTCGTGCAAAGTGCGTGTCAACCGTCTAGTAAAAATAATTTCACGTATCTAATCAATAACATATCAAAATTAAAACAAAGTTGTATTAATACTAATTTTGTCATTATCTAAACACTAGTGTTGTTTGTTTGTTTTTTCAATTTTGGTTTTCATTGTCTGTGTATAATTGAATTCCTGTGATCTATTTTGGAGTTGGTGTTTCTTTGGTGGAGTTTGTGTCCACTGTTTAGCCTTTCTTTGTAACTGAAAGCACAACTTGTGCCTTTTTTATGTTTAATGCTATTTGGCTCTTTCAGAAAAACAATAGGAATTTCCATACAGAACATAACAAGTGACGGCACATTTTTGTTCTAATTTGCCAACCTAGGCAACTATAGTGGTCAAGACCTAATGACAAGTTTACAAACATCTACTTGACTTCAAAACTTTCGTATACATCTAATTACTTTTTCTAAATTTTAAGGACGAAATTTCTCTAATGAGGGAACAAATATAATACCCCTAATTTCTATAAAATATAATATTATATCTATGTATATATAATTCTCCATTAAATTATTATCTATTATTTTAAATGATTTTGTGATATGCACTAACTTTTGAGAATTATGCATTTCCTTCAAAATTCCTGAAACAACTTTGTTAATTTTTAAAATATTAATTCTTTTGTGACTCGAAGAAAGTAATATGCCTTATAATTACAAGAATGGCAGAATTTGATACATGCATATAGAATAAACGAGTCTGATATGAAATACATGAGAAATGTTGGAAATTCACCTCACACCCTATGAAGAATTCCCTTCAATCTTGATCTCAAGATTGATGAACAAACGCATAATATGATAGTAATGGTAATAACAAGTAATTATCAAGAACAACAAAAGAAAAGAAGAATAACAAGAAAGAGAAGAATGAGAGAAGAATTATTTGGAGAGAATGTGTTACCCACAACTGTGGGATTTCTTATTGCTTATAGAACTTTCACTTGCTAAACACTGCAACTGTGAAATCTATTCTATGTTGTGTTTGAATACAAAGCAAGGCACCGTATTTATAGTTTTAGGCTTACAAAAGCCCAAAATATTCAAATCAAATCTAGTCATATCAAATCAAATCTGTTTACACTATGAATTATATTTAACACACCACCTAATTCATTGTGTCTAAACTGTCTACATTCATCATGGCTCTTAGTCTTCTGAAGGCTTCGACCTGCACTCCCTTCGTCATGATATCTGCAATCTGATTCTCAGTTCTGCAATGTTCCAACTTCATCTTCTCTTCTGCTACCTGCTCTCGAAGATAATGGAACCTCATTTCGATGTGCTTGCTTCGACCATGAGCTATTGGATTCTTCGCCAAGTTGATAGCTGACATGCTGTCTATCTTCATGGTAATTGCTCCATGATTCTTCCCTGTGATTTCTTCGACCAAGTTCACCATCCAAGTTGCTTGACATGCACAAAGAGAAGCAGCTATATATTCTGCTTCACATGATGACAATGCCACTACTGGTTCCTTTCTCGAATTCCAAGCAACTAATGCACCACCTGTATGAATTAAAAATGTGATTCAAGCTAATTAATAGTTTGATATCATATTTCCACCGCAATAGGTGGAAACAAATTCTCTTTTGGTTTCTCATGCCTTGACTAATCCACCCTTGATTCCTTGGCAGCTTAAGAAGTCTTGGGCTCACTATTTGACACTTAAATTACAAATATGTCCTTTTTCATTTCTTACATTTATAAAGAAGGAAATGGTTATGCGTATTTTTTTGCTAACATAATACTCACTTTATTTGACTTCATTCCTTTGTTCATTGGAGATGATTTTGTAAAGAATAAACTTGATATATTTTTTTTTTAAGTTATGAGTGTTTAAATGAGTTTTGGCCTAATACTCCACTTTTTGTGTAGCCTCTTTTTCTTTTCAATATATCATCCTTATTAAAAATAAATTCATTATCTGTATAAAAATATGACATAACAATTTGAAAACAAGAGTTAGATATAAACTATCAATTTAATTTATATATATCATTCTCTTTAATTTGGGTTATAAAATATATAAACATAATAAATAGTGCACTATAAAAAGAATGTTTTTATAGTACCTGGAAATTCTTAGGTGCTATGTTGCTAATGAAATTGAACTGAAAATTTGTGACTTATGCAGTAATATTTCTGAGCTTTTGGGCAGAGGTGCATTACAATTCAATTTATCTAGAAGGAGGTAACAAATTTATCCTTTATACAATAAATAAAATTACGAAGCTTTTTAGCCAAAGAAGTTTATGATTTAACTATTTGCACATCCAATGTAATTTTGAAAAGCTCCATGAAATCTCCTATGTCACGATCGTATTTAACTGTATTGTGTTAATTCATATAAAGAAAAAGAGGAAATTGTCTTAGAGTTGGTGTCGGCGCCTGTATTGTGTTAATTCATATAAAGAAAAAGAGGAAATTGTCTTAGAGTTGGTGTCGGCGCCTCTACGCCCACGTCCGGAGCCGGTGTCGAGGGGTGTTTTGTATGGTATGAGACAAGTGACATAAGTCTTGCCACCACCACATATGACTATGTGACACTTTATCCTCTTTGACTCCTTTGAAAAGTACATTGTTCGAAGGGCCTTATAAATGCTATTTAATTTTACTCTATTTCCAATGTGGGACTAATCATTTATTGTCAATTAACTATATCACCCACTTTGTCATTTTAGAACAACTTTAATGAAAATAAATCATCATTATTTCCAACAATTACTTGTGTGATTAAAATGCATCATTCTTGGGACAAATACCAAGCTTTATGTAAACACCATCAACTCTGAACAACAACTAGCAAGCTTTATGGTCTTTGAAGAAGTTTTGAGAAGTAGCAGTGAAAATTTATGTGAAAAAAATTGAAGAGACAAGTTCATGTTTTGTTTTTTAAAAAATAAAAATTGTAGAAACAAGTTTGTTTTTTTGTTACTGTAATAAGCATATGAGCATCACGTGAAAGAGAAGAAGAAAATCAAGTACAACTCATTTCCTGGGTTAATCTTTTCTTTACTTGTTTACTTTCTTTCTTTTTTTCTTTCTATTTTTTAATTATATTAATTTTGGGTTTTTGATTAGTTTAAACTTCTCTAAGCCCACAGCCCGTGGTGGTATTGCACCCTTTTTTTATTATTTTATTTATTTATTTATTTATTTATTTTAATATATTTTATTTTTATTTTTATTTTAATATCTTTTATTTTACATTTTCAGAATATATATATATATATATATATATAAAAACAAATTTATGTTTAATTATTTGTTTCAATTTTTATTTTGTATATTCTAGAAAAAAATTCTAAGAAGACTTTTATTACTAGTTTAGTTATCTTTCTCATTTGTATTTTGTATATTAATTAGTAGAAAACCCATGCGTCCGCACGGGATCCACAGAAAAGTTAATTTTTAATATAAGAGCATTTGTTAAATAGAAATAACAAAATCAAAATGATAATAATTTTAACAGTATTAATTGTGAAAATATTCAACTGTTTTAAAATATATTGACAGTGCGTAACACAATTGGAATATGTTCAACATAGAATAAAAAAAAAATCTTTTGATTTTAATAATACTGTAAG